TCACAGAGACACAGAGAGATCCTACAGGTGATATCACAGAGCCACAGAGAGACAATTGAGTTGACATCACAGAGACACAGAGAGATCCTACAGGTGATATCACAGAGCCACAGAGAGACAATTGAGTTGACATCACAGAGCCACAGAGAGAGCTTCAGGTTACATCACAGAGCCACAAAGAGAGAATTCAGCTGATATCAAATAAACACATGAAGACTCTATTGGTGACATCACAGAGCTACAGGAAGACACTATTGGTGACATCACAGAGCCACAGGAAAGACACTTCAGGTGACATCACAGAGCCACTGAAAAGACCATTCAGTCGACATCACAGAGGCACAGAGAGATCCTTCAGGTGACATCACACAGTCATAAAGAGACCCTTCATGTGACATACAGAGCCACAGAGAGACCCTTCAGGTGATATCACAGAACCAAACAGACCCTTCTGGTGACATCAGAGACACAGAGATAGACCCTTCAGGTGACATCACAAGCCACAGATAGACACTTCAGAGCCAAGAGGAACCTTCAGGTGACATAACAGTACCATAGAGGGACCCTCAGCTGACATCACAGATCCACAGGAGAGAATCTTCAGGAGACATCATAGAGCCACAGGAATGTCACTATTGGTGACATCACGGAGCCACAGGAAAGACACATCAGGTGACATCACAAGGCCACAGAGTGACCATTCAGGTGACATCACAGAGCCACAGAGACTCCCGTCAGGCGACATCACAGAGCCACAGAGAGACAATTAAGGTGACATCACAAAGCCAGTAAGAGACTATTCAGGTGACATCACAGAACCAGAGAGAGACCATTCTGTTGACATCACAGATCCACAGGAGAGTATCTTCAGGAGACATCACAGAGCCACAGGAATGACACTTCTGGTGATATCACACAGGCGCATGATAGACCCTTAATGTGATGTCACATAACCACAGGAAATAAAATATTGGTGACATCACAGAGCAACAGGAAAGACACTTCAGTTGACATCACAGAGCCACTGTAAAGACCCTTCATCTGACATCACAGAGCCACAGAGTGACCATTCATATGTCATCACAGAGCCACAGAGAGACCATTCAGGTAACTTCACAAAGCCACTAAGTGACTCTTCAGGTGACATAACAGAACCATAGAAAGACACTTCCATTGCCATCACAGAGACATAGGAGAGAATCTTCAGGAGACATCACAGAGCTACAGGAATGACTCTTCTGGTGATATCACAGAGGCACATGATAGACCGTTAATGTGATGTCACAGAGCCAAAGAAAAGACACAATTTGTGACATCACAGAGCAACAGGAATGACATTTTAGGTAATATCACAGAGCCACTGGAAAGACCCTTCTGTTGACATCACATAGGCAGAGAGAGATCCTTCAGTTGACATCACAGAGACACAGGAAAAAATCTAGGTGACATCACAGAGACACAGCGAGACCCTTAAGTTGACATCACAGAGCCACAGAGAGATCCTGTAGTTGACATCACAGAATCAAAGAGTAATCCTTGAGATGACATCACAAATCCACATAGAAATCTTCAGGTGACATCACAGAGCCACAGAGAGACTGTCCATTGACATGACAGAGCCACAGAGAGACCATTCAGGTGTCATCACTGATCCACAGAAAAACTCTTCAGGTGACATCACAGAGCCACTGGAAAGACCTTTCAGTTGACATGACAGAGCCACAGAGAGACCCTTCAGGTGACATCACAGAACCACAGAGGGATACTTCATGAGACATGACAGAGCCACAGAGAGACCCTTCAGGTGACATCACAGAACCACAGAGGGACACTTCATGAGACATCACAGAGCCACAGAGAGATCCTCAGTTGACATCACAGAGACACAGACAGACCCTTCAGGTGACATCACAGAGCCACAGGGAGACCCATCAGGTGACATCACATAGCCACAGAGAGACCATTCAGTTGCCATCACCGATCCACAGAGAGACCCCTTAGTTGACATCACAGAGCCACAAAGAGAGCTTCAGGTGACATCACAGAACCACAGAGAGACCCTTCATGTGACATCACAGAGCCACAGGAAAGACACTATTTCTGACATCACTGAGCCAAAGGAAAGACGTTTCAGGTGACATCACAGAGCCACAGAGACCCTTCAGGTGACATCACAGACACACAGATAGACCCTTCAGGTGACATCACTAGCCACAGAGAGACACCACGTGACATCACAGAGGCACAGGAAAGATATTTCAGATGACATCACAGAGCCACACAGAGAACATTCAAGTGACATCACAGAGCTACAGAGAGACGCCTCAAATGACATCACAGAGCCATCTGAGAGACCATTCAGGTGACATCACAGAGCCACAGGAAGACACTATTGGTGACATCACAGAACCAAAGGAATAACACTTCTGTTGCTATCACAGAGGCACATGATAGACACTTCAGGTGATGTCACAGAGTAACAGGAAAGACACTATTGGTGACATCATAGAGCCTCAGGAAAGACCCTTCAGTTGACATCACAGAAGCACAGAGAGATCCTTCAGGTGACATCACAGTAACAGAAAGACATTCAGGTGAAATCACAGAAACAAAAAGATACCATTTAAGTAGGTGACTTCACAGAACCACAGAGAGACACTTCATGTGACATCACAGAGCCACAGAGAGACCTTTCAGGTGACATCATATAGCCACATAGAGACCATTCAGGCTTAGGGTTAGGGTTAGAAAGACTCTTCATGTGACATCACAGAGCCACAAGAGACATTTCCGGTGACATCACAGAGCCACAGAGACACTCTTCATGTGACATCACAGAGCAACAGAGAGACCCTTCATGTGACATCACAGAGCCACAAAAGACATTCAGGTGACATAACAGGGCAATAGACAGACACTTCAATTGACATCACAGAGCCAGTGAGAGATCATTCCTGTGACATCACAGAACCACAGAGAGTCCGTTCAGGTAACATCATAGATCCAAAGAGAGATCCTTCAGTTGATATCACTGATCCACAGAGAGAATCTTCAGTTGACATCACAGAGCCACTGAGAGATTCTTCAGGTGACATCATAGAGCCACAGAGAGATCCTTCAGGTGACATCATAGAGCCACAGAGAGATCCTTCAGGTGACATCACAGAGCACCCGAGAAACTCTTCAGGTGACATCACAGAACCAGGTAGACACCATTCAGTTGACATCTCAGAGCCACAGAGAGATCCGTCAGTTGACATCACAGAGCCATAGAGAGATCCTTCGGGTAACATCACAGAGGCACAGAGAGAACTTCAGGTGACATCACAGAGCCACAGAGAGACATTCAGATGATATCACAGAGCCACAGAGAGACCCTTCTGGTGACATAACAGAGCTACAGAGAGACAATTCAGGTGATATCACAGAATCACAGAGGGACATACAGGTGACATCACAGAGACACAGAGAGAGAATTCAGGTGACATCACAAAGCCATTAAGAGACTCTTCAGGTGCCATCACAAAGTCACAGAAAGACCCTTCAGTTGATATCACAGAGCCACAGGAATGACAATTTTGGTGATATCACAGAGGCCCATGATAGACCCTTCCTTTGGTGTCACAGAGCCACAGGAAATACACTATTGGTAACATCACAGAGTAACATGAAAGACTTTTCAGGTGACATCTCAGAGCACCTGGAATGACTCTAGAGTTGACATCACAGAGGCACAGAGAGAACCTTCAGTTGACATCACAGAGCCACAGAGAGACCATTCAGATAACTTCACAAAGCCACTAAGAGACTCTTCAGGTGAACCATAGAAAGACACATTCGTTGACATCACAGAGACACAGGAGTGAATCTTCAGGAGACATCACAGAGCTACAGGATTGACTCTTCTGGTGTTATCACAGAGGCACATGATAGACCATTCAGGTGATGTCACAGAGCCAAAGAAAAGACACAATTTGTGACATCACAAAGCAACAGGAATGACATTTCAGGTAATATCACGGAGTCACCGGAAAGACACTTCAGTTGACATGACATAGGTAGAGAGAGCCACAGCAAAGACACTATTGGTGACATCACAAAGCCACAGGAATAACATTTCTGGTGATATCACAGAGGTGCATGCTAGACCCTTCAGGTGATGTCACAGAGCAACAGGAAAGACACTATTTGTGACATCAACGATCCACAGAGAGACACTTCAGTTGACATCACAGAGCCATAGACACACCCTTCATGTGACATCACAGAGCCACAGAGAGACAATTCAGGTGACATCACAGAGCCACAGATTGGCCCTTCAGGTGTTCTCACAGAGCCACAGAGAGACCCTTCATGTGACATTACAGAGCCACAGAGAAATCTTCAGGTGACATCAAACAGAAACAGAGTGGCTCTCCAGTTGACATCACAGAGCCACAGAGACCATTCAGGTATTGAAAGACCCCCGAAGAGGTACCTTCGTAAAAAGAGACCCGTACCCAGGAATCAGCGAGACCACGAACTTGAATGCAAACTGCAAGAGGCTTTATTGGAGACACGGGTACCCGGGGCGACTTAGCTTCTGTGAGGCCAAGCGCGCCGGGCCAAGGGAGACGGGTCCTTATATAGCAAAAAGCACAAGCGAGAAGCAGGGATTCTATTGGATAATTCAAATGAGGCGCAATACAGAGCTATTCCCATTGGTCAATGTAAATGAGGCGCTACTCAGGGTTATTCAAATGAGGCGAAGTATAGAGTCATTCAAATGAGGTGAAATACAGAGTCATTCAAATGAGGCAAAGTACAGAGTCATTTCTATTGGATGGTTCAAATGAGGCACAGAGCCATTCCAGACCATCATATTCTCAAGGTCTGGTGTCTGGTACAACAGACTCAATTCACCCCTCAGCGTCCAGATGGCTGACCTTGGGGGTGGAGACCTTGGGACGGAGTGTTCCTCATCGGGCGGGGGCGCGGGGGCAGGGCCCAGGCCGGCTCACTTGGTGTTTGCTCTCGTGCCGAGGCTTCAGAGATGGCTCCTTGCTCGGCCCCAGCCCCGGGGCACGGTGCCAGGCGGGTGGGCAAGGGGCATGGGGGCCCGCCGGGGTGGACCAGCTTTAGAGGGAACCGGCGGCCGGACATGCGGCGGCGGGGAAATTGCAGGCCGGCAGGGGTGGGGATTGGGGAGGCGCAGGAGGGAGACATCCGCCACTCGCCCTCATCAGCATTAGCTGCCGACCGGAGGAGGAGGCAAACTTAAGAGCTAAGGGGCAGGGGTCCAAAAATAGAATAATCAGAGGTCCCATGAGAGTGGATATAAGGGTAGTGA